ACATGTGCAGATCTCCTCATGCCGTTGAATTTAATTGGAAAGTCCACATGTGCTGAAGCTCCGAGTGTACATTGCTGTGCCAACGCAGCTCTAAAATGGCACAGGTAACTGTAAACAACTCTTTTGCCCTCTGCAAGTTTTCTCGTCCCTTAAAAATCAACAACTTCTTGCCTAACTTCTACATGTGTTCATTTGTTCAGAAAAATAAGCAAACGTGCATATGTACGTAGTCTGATTTGCATAACTTATACTGAGAGCAGAATAGGAAGTTTCCTGATACAAATCAGTATCTTGCTTTGCCACAGAATCTGGACAGTTCAGGCCTAAGTAGGAGCAGTCTCTTTGTACAGGTTCAGCTTGCTGCTCACAGAGAGGCTAAAATGTTATTTTGAGATCTTGTTAAATGTTGAGTTTGGAAGGATTGGAAGCAGCGAGTGGATATGGATATCTGGCAGGTTATATCATCACAGATTCATAATGTTAATGTTAGTGTCTCTGAGAACAGTCTGTAGGAGTAAAAGCTATTCCTAATGGTTGTTTGCTTCCCGTAAATGGTTTGGGTAGCATTTGTCATTAGTTATGTGCTTTGACACCCTCAATCACATCTGTCCTTGTTGATGTGTCAAAGGTGATTGGTAGGGAGGGGGCAGTTCAATTTACTTAATCAAATCCTCCAGGGCAATAGATAGAGCAGATTTATTTTTCTCTATTTAGTTGGGATATGGAATCCTTTTTAGTCTCATTCCTCACAGCTATGGTTGACTTTATTAAGATGCCAAGTGAGGAACAGTCAACCAGCTCATAAATACAGAAATAATTAATCACATCTACATCTTACAAGCAGCTGGTGCACATGAAAGAGATGCTGGGAAGAAAATCAGCACAGGTTTGTAGAGATGATTCATAGAAAACTAAGCTCTCCTTGTTCGCAATCTTTGGCTGGCACCGCATGGCATCCATCCAAGTGGAATGTTCGGAAGACCTTACAGTAAATGATATTCTGACCAGCATTCCATTCCACTTCTGTGTTTAACAACAAAACCCATTCATTTTTGGCAGTGATTGAGAAAAATATCTCACTGTTTGGGTGAGTGCTCCAAACAAAACAAGTCAATAGAGCATGGAAGGATTTAGAAGTTTGACTTCTTGGTAGCTGCCACATATGTGAGGGTCAACTAACTATCGCAGTGTCCCAAGCACAGTTTCTTTCTGGGATACATCTATAATCCCCCCTTTAGCACATTTAACTTAGAAATCCTGCGCATATTTGCTCCAAAGGAAGTCTCAGTGGGGAGGTGTGTGCAGAGCATTGCAGTCTGAGAACTACAATAGATGTTTCCTTCCATCAGTCACATATCGGTGCCCAGCTATGCACACTTAAGTTCCATAGAAATCGCAGGGGCAGACATTGTCCATAACTCTGCGCTGAATAATTGCTGTATTGTTTTAAAGGGATGGCTTTATTATATATTTTAATGAAGAATTTTTATTATTTTAATATAAGTGTAGCTGGTTTTTATACTTTGTGAACCACTTGGGCACCTATTTTGGCATTAAGTGGTATATACTTTAATTAATTAATAGGCCTGTCTATTTGGATCAAGTTTCATGTACTACACTGGAGTACAGTGTTGGAGCATTCTATCAGCTATATTATTTGGCTAGTTTCACATCTTTGAATCTGAGAAGTGCATCTCACAGTATTCTTAATATGTACAGAATTTTGAAATGTTGAAGATGCTCCTGTATGGGATGTGAGAAATTGTGTCATGGTGATAACAATGCTACTGAAATCTATGACTGTTAGTTTATTTCATGGGTGTTCTGACATTATGGTTATTATTTTGTCCACACTAGGTGAGCTGCTTTTTTAGGTCTCCTGTTCTCAAGCTTTTAGCTTCATATTTTTTCCAGGGCTGGATATATAGACCCTGGGACAGGAAAAACTTTGCATCCAATCCTGGATTGCCCTCCTGTATATAATTAAGAGTTACTATTTTTTATACAGTATACCACTTACACGCCAGAACAACTTCTAAGTGCTTTACAACTATAAAATCAATCATAAGATCCACACATAATTAAAACACACTTTAAGGATTCCAGCAAGGCATTAAAACATCCTTAATTAAAATGTACAACAACCCAGGCAAGTGAAAAAGTACGACAATTGAAACAGTGAAAGCACATTTGAAACAATGAGATCAGAAGTTTAGTTCTTGGGAATGATTGCTGGAGCAGGTCTGTTTTCAGGAACCACCAGAATGATTGAGGGCATCCCACAACATGGGGGCCACCAGTGGAAAAGCCCATCTTGGCATTACCACAAGCTGAGAAGCCTCAGTGTGAGCCAGTGTGGTGTAGTGGTGAACGGGGTTCGCTCCTCCACATGCAGCTGCTGGGTGACCTTGGGCCAGTAACACTTCTCTGAAGTCTCTCAGCCCCACTCACCTCACAGAGTGTTTGTTGTGGGGGAGGAAGGAGGTTGTTAGCCGCTTTGAGACTCCTTAGGGGAGTGATAAAGCGGGATATCAAATCCAAACTCCTCTTCTTCTTCTTCTTCTTCTTCAGGCGGCGGCAAAATTAACTGGATTCCATTAACTGAATGCAGTGCTCTTACTGGGCAGTGGAGGGGAAGAGGGATTTTCATGTAACTGGGCCAGAGTTATTTAGGGCTTTGCATGTCAGCAGCAGAACCTTAAAACTGCCCCAGTTGCGTGGCATGTGTCACTCGTCACGTGGGCTGCAAGAGAAGACCCACCTAGTGTCCACTGCAGAAGTCCAGAGGTGAGGTTCCCAACACGTGTCCCAGTGGCCAGAAAAGGGTGCAGCTGATGCACAAGGCAAAGGGCTTCACCACAGAGGCTGCCTGGGCCTCCATGGGCAAATATGGTTCCAAGAGCTCCCTGAAGCAGGAGACCCGTCCTTTCAGGGGGAGGGCAACATCTCCCAGAAAAGGCAGACTCCTCAGTTCTCAGGCTTCTGAACCACTTACGCAAAGGGTCTCTGTCTAAGCAGAATTCAGCTCCAGTCTGCTGACCTTCATCCTCTCCATCGCTGCATCCAGCCATTGGTTCAGCTTATGCCTATTGGATTTAATAGAAAAACTGTGTCATCAGCATACCAATGTCACTGTGCCCCAAAACTCCTGAAGGGATCTCCCAGAGGCTTCATTGGCTAAATAGTGTGGGGGGTGGAGTTATGCTTTGCAGCACCCTGCTAGCCAGCTGCCCAAATGTAGACATGTAGTTCCCCAGGGCTATTCTCTGGAACCAGCCATGCAGGTAGGAGCAAAACTACAGTAGCACAGTGGCTCCAACTCCGAAGCAATGGAGGTGGCAGTGACACCCAAAGTCCCCGAGAGATCCAACAGCAGCAGTCGGATTGCCCTCTCCTTGAACCCTGAGGGGAAGGAGTCCAGAGAACCTGCTTCCTCCAAAGTGCCTGAAGCGGAGCTGCCACTGCACCCCTGAGCCCCAAAGGAGATGTCGGAGACCTCAGGGTCCAGCAAGGGCTTTTGCAGGAGCAAGCATAGAGGACAAGCCCACCTCGTGGCAATCCATAATGTGGATGGATTGCTCTTCTTGGAGGAGTTATCATGGACTCAGTGTGTTCATGTTTTCTTTGAAGACCTAACAGTGTCTGCATTTGGAGTGTCTGACCAAAGTTGACTCATACTTGCCTTTATTTTTAATAATATATATTTGCAGGGCGTGGGAGCGAGGGAAGGAAGCAAATGCCTCCAGACTCAACCAAAACACAAACTGAAAAACATTAATAAGGAAGGATAAGTTGTTTGCTTATTATTTTAAAAATTGCAAGGTGTTTCTTTGTTTCTCATACGTGGTTTCCAAACTGAAATTGCTGTGAAGGATGACAAAGAGTTGGAGTACCATTTTTAGGCATGGCTTGCTGGCTTCCTGTCTCTTAAAGTAATTAGGTCACAGTAAGATCCTTGGTCATCATGCCCTACTGACATAGAGCTGCCGAGAATTTGCAGGTTAAGACAGCAATCCTAAGCTCCCGGGGAAGGCCGGCTGCCCTGGAATTTCCTTCCTGTCAGCAGAGGCAGAAGTCTGCTCCACTGCCACCAGCGCTCTGGCAGCATGGGAGGTGAAAAGGGGCATGTTGAGGGTGCGTTGAGGAAGCTCTGGAGCTAGACGTAAAGCCCTTCTGTTCTCCCTACCACCACCACCCCATGGTCATAAAACTACACCAACCCTGAGCCTGGCACAGCTTAGGATGTGATGGCTCCTCCACTGTGGGATCTCCCACCGACCTGTATAGGATAGCGTTGCCCAATTGTAGTACGAGATAATCACTTTGGGGATCTCTTAGTACTGTGTTGGAAATGAAATGCTATGGATCTGAGTGTGGATGAGAGAAGCTGTGGCCCTGTGGTAGAGGTCATATTTTTAATATCTGATACAAGTAGCTGCTCAGCAGCTTAAGATAGTGAGCGAGTGGGATACATCTTTTGGCATGACAATTTGGAACTCAGTGCCAGAATAGGGCTGTCTGGCCTCTTGGCCGGGCAAAGCAGCTGTTCCATGTCTCTCAGTAGTATTTTAACTGGAGGTGCCATTGTTGGGGTTTATTGCAGTTCAGGCTTTTGATTCCTGCTACACTTTTTGCAGTGATAGTGCAGTAATTTGTGAGATACCGAACTTATTTTGTTCACAGCACCTACTTACCTTAATGGAGCATCCTCAAAGTATTACTTGTGCTGAAATACTTAAATATATCGGATGACCTTCTAAGCCAGGTGTGGGGGAACCTTTGACCCTGCAGGTGTTACTGAACTACAGCTCCCAGCATCCTTGGCCGTTGGCCATGCTTTCTGGGGCAAATGGGAGTTGTAGCTGAGCAACATTTTGGGCAAGAGCCAAAGGTTCCCTGCACTTCTTCTAAGGAATCAAATGCTAGGATTTGAACAACCAGCCTTAGTTATCACAATTTGCTTCCTTTAACTGCTTTGTTTCTTCTTTCCCTTCCCACAGGTGAGCGGCCGTTCCCTTGCACATGGCCCGATTGCCTTAAAAAGTTCTCCCGCTCTGATGAGTTGACGCGACACTACCGAACCCACACTGGGGAGAAGCAGTTCCGATGCCCGCTCTGTGAGAAGCGGTTCATGAGGAGCGACCACCTGACCAAGCATGCGCGTCGCCACACTGAGTTCCACCCCAGCATGATCAAGCGATCTAAAAAGGCCAGCTCTGCCTCCTTTTGAAGAACAGACTAGGGTGGGGGTGGGGGTGGGGGTGGGGAGACAACCATTGTCGAGAAAGGCATAACTGATCAGCACAAATACGTCCGCCAGCGTACAGAAATATTCCCCTACTTGCATTTTCAAAGCACATGTAGCCGGAAGATTAACATTTTCATCCTCTCCACCCTGCTATGCTACCAACAACAGTCTTAAATCAGTCACTGCTGGGTGGGCGTTGGGGAGGGGGGATCAGCAGAAATAATGCAACTTTTCTTTTTGTAGTTTAAATAATTGACACTGGTGTATATATGTCTGACTGGTGGTTTGACCTGTGACACCACAGTAGTGATTCCAAGCTCTTTGTGATTGCTGTGTCATGGGCATGTTTTGTTGACTAATGTAATGCTGCTTGTATTTAAATGAAAACAAAAACGACAAAAAAAGTTTAGTACAACCACTTTCCAGCTCACTTAAGTATTTCTCAAGTAAAGGAAACAGAACAGAAACCCAACTCCATAGCACATGTTTTAGAAGAAGATTCACTTCTCTCTGTGTGTGTCTCTCTCAATGGTCCATCCTGTTCAAGACTGTTAAGAAAAAAACCATTATATCTGTTGCTCTTATTAGCCGATTGATGTACAAACAAGGAGGTGAAATTTATACTGAAGAAGAACTGTTCTGTATATCCAGGTTTTTTTTTTAAAAAAATGAGCTACACTTTTGATTATATGTTTCTCTTTTTTTGAGTGAAATCATGCATACAAACCAATGACTAAGCAAAAAGGAAAACAAGATATAAGCTTGCATCATGTGTTTCTGTGGCTCTGCTCTTCATTTGCCATTTGGGTATATTTGTGAAAAAGTCATTGTAGAGAATGTGGGAGAGGTATGAGACCAACAGCAGTGCCCCCCCTTCTAGCTGACTTTCATCTGAAAACGATGTACCGTACTGTACTCTATAAATACCACTAACAGTGCTTTATTCTGCTGCGTTTCATTGGAATGGATGCATAAGCAGCAGCTACCATCCTGATAAGCTACCACTTTTGTAAAGGTTTTTTCCTTATGTCTCTCTCTCTCTCTGAAAGGTGCATTCTCTTCATCCAGTTGCCAGATTCCTGTCAGCCAGTGGGAACTTTGTGCATTTCTGGAGGGAACAAAACTTTCTCCCTCTCCTTACACAACATTCTCTATGCTAACAGAGACAAGACAATGAAGACTCGTTGGGTTTTTTAAAACCACTTTCCAAGAGACTTCTACCTTTTCATAAATTGCAGCTGTTGTACAGAATATGAGAAGAAAACAAACAACAACGAGGTAATTGAACCTACCACACAGGGGGTATGTCAAAATATTTCTTAGGACATGAACTCTGCCACTATGTACCTTGTGATCTTACCCTGTGTGTTAGGCTTGATACATTGAATGATAATGGCAATACTTCGTCCGTTAATGCTAAGGCTTGCTCTTTGAAAACAGGAGTGAAAGCGTCCTTGGAAGAACCCCTTGCATCTAACCAAGCCGCCATCTTCGTCAATGTTAAAGCATGAACTTTCCCTCCCCCATCTCTTGTAATGGTGGAGAATTATGTTTACAGACTTTCCCCGCTACCCAGAAACATTCTGCTGGTTCTATGTTCTTTACTCCTCCTTCGCAAGGAGAGAGAGGTGCAACTGTCCTATCTAGGGCCAGATTCATCCCTGACGTAATCACCCTGCAGCCAGTAGAATTATACAGGGATCAATTTGCCCCATCTTTGTAAAGAATCTGTACATACAACTCTTGTAAAGTACACCTGCAATGGCAGAATCTTCTTGTTTCACCTGATAAAAAGCTAGCTTCCTAGAAAAAAATAAAAATAAACAAACATCTCAGAGAGTAGAGTATTCTACAATCGTCCGTGGCTTCCAGCACTTAGAACTCAGTATGCATCTAGCATTTTTAACCTGTGTGGTTCATTATAAATAAAAAAAAAAACCCTCTTGTCTATGCGAAGAGAATGGCTTCTAAGTAAAGGTGTTAGGGGCACTTGAACAATCTATGGGATTTCAAAAGCAAAAAGGGATGAGTTTTCTTCAGTGAAGACATGTCAGGAAACCAAGCACACTTTCTACCTCCGTTTCAGCTTTTTGAAACGTTTTATTTTACGATAAACCAAAATTAATTTCTGGTGTCCAAAATAAATCATAGGGATGTTTGTTCTTCCTTATAAAAACAGGTAGCCTGGCTATTTCTATCGCTCTAGTGTAAAAAGTATTCTGCTTTTCCAGTACTGTTAATGCTGCCTTGTTTGATGGGGGTGAGGACCGTGCGCTAGGCCAGCCACTCACAACATGGGATTATTCCAGCCAACCTCCCCTTCTATCCAAGACCAGTTCTCAAGAGCCTCTGCTCTCAGTTAGTCCTACTCCTTCAACAGTCACTAGAACTATAGACTGTTGCTCTGAGGTAGGACAAATGCAGTATTAGCGAAATAGAGCCTGGATGCTGAATGCTGTTATTTCACCTTGACTGTAAAGCCACAGGCACATGAACATCCCCTCCTTGACAAATGATCAGGTCGCTTAGACACATGAGAAACTGTCGTGTGGCTGCACAGTGATTAGGGCACTTGCCTCTTTTTCTGACGGGTGTGGGCTCATTTCCTTGATCTCACACCACATAGCCCACCAGGAAGATTATAGTCTGGACCCTTGAGTTGGCAAGTCTATGGTGGCTGAGCACTGGCCTGCATTCAGCTAAGTAGTCCTGCCAGCAGAAGTCCACCCAAGGACTTCCCTGCTCCCCTCTGCTCCCCCTGTGGGCCCCTGCATTGGTTCAGGGGAGCCCCCCGAGAAGCTGGCAGGCAGGTGCAAGAGGCAGATAGGCTTGTGCAGATGGAGCTTAGCACTGTGCTGAATTCCTCCCAGTGTGCTCACCACATTGCTCCTATGTGTAGGTTACAGAAATGGCATTGCCTTAACCACATCAGCCGAGCAGGTTCTAATGATGCATCTGCTGTGCCCTAAAATGTAGTTTCGCACAGCTTTTAGGCATAATGTTTTAAAACAAAACCAACATGTGAATTATGTTCTTTCTAAAAAAAAACATTCTTGGGTGCTAAGCCTACCATGGAATGTATAATCTTAAATTTAGGTTTGTTCTCTTAATAGATCTTCCATCTATATTTTTAAAAATTGTGAAGCCCTTCATTGTCACTGCAGTGATGTATGCATGACCACGCTGCTTATTGGTGGCAGCTGTCAGTGTGGCCACCAGTTTGTGGTGGGTTGGTTGTCTGACTTGCAGGTGAAGGGTTTTGTCACCACAGCACCTGCACTTAAGTGTGTTGAGCAGCAACAAGCAACATTTCAGTTTTTGCCAACAGACAACCCAGTCACCACAAAGAGCCATCGTGGCTGCACTGAGGGGAGCACTTGCCACCCCCACATCAAGCAGGGCCATCATTTGTACCAGTCCTTGGACCACAGATGGACGTGGGAATGCTTCCTGTGTTACTTTGAGCAGATATGGGTGTGCATGAGAAGGTCTTAAAAGGGTGGATCCACATGTTTTAGAGTTGAGGATTCTGCTTCTTTGCCATGATTCAAGAGAAAAAGATAATTTGCAAGGATTTCTCTTTAACCCCCTACCACTTTCCTTCCTCCGCAAGCCACATGGGGGAAACTAGGGTGTGGTGGCTTAGAGAGGAAATCAGTGGGCGGGACATGCTGTCCTGTTTCTTCCTTGCAAATTATTCCTTCTCCCACTTGCTGCAGAGAAGCAGTAATAAGAGTTTCTGGCCCTGTGATTGCTGACAAACGTATGTAGACCCAAATATGCATGAGAATGGTTTGTGAGAAAGGTAATTGAACCTGCTCATGCCCCAGAAAAGGCCTATACATGGGATCATGAGTCTACTCTCGGAAGCAGAGGCCTGTTTCTTCAGCTGTGGTTCTCAACACACTTGAAAGCGAGTTTCACTGAAATCCACGGGACTTGATTCCAATTCAATATGCTTCGTATTGGGGTGCAAGTCTTGCTTCTTAGGAGTCTTCCAAAAGTAACCTCAGAAGCTACCCAAAGTTTATTAACCACTAACAAAATTAAATGAAAAATAGGAAAAGTTTGTCTCTCTCGGTGTAAAAGCAAGCAGTAAATTTCATGGTCAAACTTGACAATGCAGTAAAATCAGTTATTATTGGTTCTTAACAAAAGGGAGTTTAGGAAGAGACTTTTGCAGGTGTTGAGAAGAACAAAAGATCAAGTTTTCTGGGAACATCATTTGCCACGTTACTCTGGAAATTCTTAGGAGTGCTGACGTGAAGATGGCTCCTCTCCTCACTTCAGAAAGACCATTCTAGAGAAGCCATGGCTTTAAAACTATAGCTATACAACATCTTTTGTGAACAATTTTGATGACTTATATACAGGTCTCTTTTCTGTTTGCTGATGGACTTAGCCCAGTATGCACCAAACCGGACATACTCTTCAAATGCTGTTTTACTACAGATTAACAATCTGTAACACTGTAAAATACCAACCTTTACAAGTTTAATCCATTTTATTTTTGTACAGTATTCGTATCCTTTCTAAGTTATTTTCCTGTCCTGTTTTTGTAAATCACATGAAATTGTAAAAAAGAAAAAAGTAGTCATAGGTGTTTTTTGTACATATGTATATATAAATTGTCCAATAATAAAAAATAAAATAAATAAAAACAAACATGTTTGGAATGATTTGCATCCATGAATGACTGCACAGAATTTAGTGTCAGCTTTATGCCTGAGTGGGGATTTGAACCCTGATCTCCCTGTAGCGGTTAGTCCAGTACCAACCACTACACCACACTGCCTCTCAACTGAACCGCCTAGGCAAAAATTTAACCTGCCCCCTGAAGCCCAAGAGTAGCAAGGGTGCCACGGAAGTCTTTGTGGGGAGGCCATGCCACAAACTGGGCCCCACCACTGAAAAGGAATGCCTTTTCTCCAGCTGCTGATCCAGCTCTCCTCTGAAGGCTCCAAGTCATAGAGGACTTTAAAGGTACAGCCAAGATGGCCCCCCTCCCCCAGCCCCAGCCAGCATAACTAGTGGTTAGGAAGGATGGACATTGTGGTCCAAAACACCTGAAGGGAACCACCTTGGCTGCCTCTCAGGCTTTGAATTGTGCTTGGAAACCTGCAGGGCACCTGGCTGGCCATGCAAGCATCACAAAAAATGGACATAGATTTGCATATGCGGATTGATATGTATAGATGCGAATTTAGATATTATTGCTACAATTTAAATAGAAATACATTGTGTTACCAGGATGTGTCATTTTAGGGGGTGAAACTTAAATTTTGCAAATTTCTTCAGTGAAGGGTCTTAAAAATATGTTTTTGGGTGTGAGGAATTCAAATCTATTATTTTTGTGATTGGACAACATTTATTTTGGTAAGTCTATGTCTGATGAAGAAGCACATAAACTGCTTTAGGAAAACCAAAGAATTTAATTTTGCCTTAAGAAAATGTCAGCTAATGCTAAACACCACTACACAATATTAATGCTATATAAAATAAAATATGCAATTTTGCACACATTTTACTTAACCAGCAAAACTTATTTATATTAATTTAACTAAAACATCTTTTGAGTTCCCAAGTCATGTTGCAACTATTTACCACCCCTTGTTTTTGGAATTTCAAAGTTGAAAAATTCTGCACAATGTCTCATGCTAACAGGGGAGGTGGTCTGGTGAGCCTGGCACCTGCTCTGTCTGTTTCCCCCTATATTTCGTTGATGGGCACCCTCAAGGCCACAGCTGCCCTTTGGACTGCACCAGACACTCCTTCAAACTGTCCTCTGACAGCGCTTCAAAGAGAGGGTTGTCCTTGTTAAGTAGGATTAGTGGCTCTGCAAAAACTAGGAAAGTTGTTTCAGGAGAGATGGTTATGAGATATTTTCCTGACTAGTTGCAGTCAATAACCAAGCAGCCACATTTTGCACCAGCAGAAGATTCTGGTTCTTAGCAGTCTTCAAATGAAGGCTGCAGGGAACACCTTGAAATTATGGCCATGTCTATTTTGCTAGGCCATGGACAACTAGCCAGGCTGCCTTTGCGCAGGAGAGGCTGCAGCTGGTCCATCAGTCTCAGCTGCTGGATTGTCCTACAACTCAAGCTGCAAATACCATCCTTTCAGAAAAGACAACCCCATCTAGATGCTATTACCACTTTGAAGCTGAATGGGTTGAAAGAGGCAATCGCCATTGATTTGTGCAGGTTGAAATGGTCTTTGTCTGCTTCTTGCCATTTGGTCTAACAAAACGGGTGATGAGCCCTTTACTCTGTCTGGATTAATGGGTTTTTATTTTGGCAGGATGGTGAGCAATCTTGCAAATCAGCAGTCGTTGTTTGTATATAGCAAGGCTGAGTACGCACCAAACATTTAAAGCACATCCCATCCTTTTAAAGGGTGCTGGGAATTGTAGTGCTGTGAGGGGTAAACTACACTTCCCAGGATTCTTTGGAGGGAAAATTTGCCTTAAACATATAGTGTGTGCATCATTCACAACTACTTCAGTCTCGCAAAAACACCCAACGGCAAAATTTAAGCCCATTCATCAGGCAACCTGGGTGAGAACTATACCTACAAAATTTGTATGTGGTTATATTGAAATGAAATGGAAATTAAAGGTTCACTTCTAATTTGACGTAAAGAGATTAGATGACCAAATACAAATGAACGCAAGCTTTTGAAGAGAAGGGGGGGGGACGCTCTCTGCAAACTTGAGCATCAGGTTATTGGCTAGACAATTCCTTAAACTGACTTCCAATCAACAAAGTTCAGTTTATCTGCTTAATGATGCATATATTTTTTACTGTTACTAGTGTGGTGGAGTCTCCTTCTTTGGAGGTCTTAAAGCAGAGGCTTGACAACCATATGTCAGGAGTGCTCTGATGGTGTTCCCTGCTTGGCAGGGGGTTGGACTCGATGGCCCTTGTGGTCTCTTCCAACTCTAGGATTCTATGAAAAAACGTCCCTTAGGAATAATTTTTCATTGACTTAATTTTTCACTCCTGGGTCAAGTTAGGGTTCTTGTTTTCTCTTAATCAAATTATGCTCAGTACTAACACAAGAAGAAGAGAATCAGATATAAACTGCTGTGACAAGAACTTGAGGGGTGGGGAACCCATGGCCCCGTCAGATGTCAGAGGACTACAGCTCCCCTAACCATTGGACCTGCTGGTTGAAGCCGATGGGAGTTGGGAGTTCAACAGGATCAGGAGGAGCAGAGGTTTCCCATTTTATAGCAGAGTTTCCGGCTTCCTATCCATGGAAGTTACTGGTTGATAGAGGCTGTGAAGAACATGTTGCTTCACTACTGAGGTAACTCCACATGGAATGCAACTTTTGTGCTCTACTTCTCAAATTGAGTTATTACATGTAGTAGTCATGATGAAAGGCATGCAGCCAGCCTGGTGCAGGAATAAATGGCTGAAAGCAGGCAAACCCTCTCAACAGGCAAAAGGAATCCTCCTTCATGCAGCATATTCTGTAGCTGAACTATGCAATTTGCTCCCACAAGACGTACTGATAACCATGGACTTGAATGGCGTTAAAAGAGGATGTTGTTTTCCATTCTCTGTCATCCAGCCTGCATCTCAATACCAGTTGCTGGGATTCACAAGGACAGAGATTTGCTCTTGCGCTCAGGCCCTGCTCTCCCGCAGGCATCTGATTGGCCACGGTGAGAACAGGAGGCTGGACCAGGGGAGTGGCCTCATCCAGCAGGCTCTTGCGTCCCAATGATTCTAACGTGTTTAACACCTTGGACGAATAGATTTACCGCTCAATCTTACACAAGTATGTTTAGAAATAAGTCCCATTGAATTCAATTGAGCATTTTGACATACAGTGGTGCCTCGCAAGACGAAATTAATTCGTTCCGCGAGTTTTGTCGTCTTGCGATTTTTTTCGTCTTGCGAAGCACGGTGTCGGAAAAGTTTTGGAAAAGCTTCAAAAATACCAAAGTCTTCAAAAACCTCAAAAAAGGCTACCACACCGCGTGCTATGAGTTGCTCCTTGAAGTCAAGTCGCAACTGTATTAACGGTGTTAAGAAAAAGGAAACAAACTTGCAAGACGTTTCCGTCTTGCAAAGCAAGCCCATAGGGAAAATCGTCTTGCGTTGCAGCTCAAAAAACAAAAAACCCTTTCGTCTTGCGAGTTTTTCCGTCTTGCGAGGTACCACTGTAATAAAAAGGTATAAAGTACCCATCAACTGTATGACGTTTATGAAATGCAGGCAACCAATAGGTCTACAATGGTTAAAGAAAAGCTGCAGACCTACTGCACCTCTTCTATTTCATGACCTTTAAGCTCTTGGGCACCCTTGTGAATGTATGTGTCATACGCATCAGTCAACTGCAGATGACACTTCACATATTTGACAAGCTGGTCTCTAAAAGTAGGTCTATGAAAGTAAATTCTACAGTAAGTATGTTTGTCTTTAATATGCCAGAAGACTCTTGGGGCACTTCTGGCTAGAGACAAATATTTCATTCTGAAAAACACGTATTCATTATTAAACCATTTTTCCATGTGTGTTTGCAACCATTTGGCTATGTTTGTTTGTTTGTTTGTTTGTTTGTTTGAAAGGTCTGGTTTGCTTGAAGTTTAAAATACAACTTTTGGTCCAAATCAGAGCCAAATTATTTAGGGAATGGTTCATACATCATGTTAATTATCTAATTATTACAGCATTAACTGGTGATTTGCAAGTGTGAACAAGCATCACAGATCAGGCAGAGTATTTTTCCAGCCCCTGCCCCCATCACCACCTTAGATGCCATGGAGTTAACTTGCATGTTCAGCTGCAAGTACTGTAATCAGGGAGGAGGAAGTTATGAACACAGAATGCGTAAACCAACCTTAAAGGTTAGCAGATAACGGTGAACTTTATATACATTTTAAGATTAGATATTTGAAAGGGTTGAGCACGTGTTTAATTTGTAATGAATTGAAAGTTTGAAATAACTAAAACTGAAGAAGCATTTGAAGGTCAGCTTCTCCAAAATGACAAAGGCTTAAACCTAGAAGGTGCTTATGCTGGCAAGTAAGTTTCTAAGATCCACAGCTGCTCAACTGTGGCAAAGGTATATCTAGTGGCACAGAAGATCATTGCTAATGTTGCCCCTTCAAAAGCACATTGTTGACCCATCAGAAAGAACAAGACGTTTTCCATAGCTTCTGAAGAAGCGCTCATCATCACAGCCCACCCTGCTCAGCGCCTCCATCTGTCCTGGGCTGTGTTGTGTTTCCAACCGTCTTGCCTGATCTCGGACATCAAGGAGGACCATCAGGGAACATGGAGCTGTAGCTGGACACTTCCCCACGTTTACCTAGATGAAACAGGTTTATGCACTGAATGTTTACATCACTGGAAATAAGGAAGATACCTTAGCAGGTGACCTAGCAGGGTATTTTTGGATTTATTTTTGTCTGCCTGTGTCAGGGGAAGTCACAATGCAAACCATACACACACACCCCCTCGGCAGAGTTGTTAGGCA